GTATGCTTTTCTCTTTCCTTCTAGTTGTAGAATTTCCACTCAGCCAGCCTTCCTGTGGTTCTGGATGATGTTCGTTCCGTCTTTTAGTTGTATTCTTGAAGTGGTTGTGCTAAGCAGCAATCTCCGGTGTTTACCTATGCCGCCATCTTGGTTTTCCCCCTTGATTTTATTTTTAAAACTAGAGGCCCAGTGCACGAAATTCATGCACTGGGGTGTGTGTGTGTCCCTCAGCCCAGCCTTCACCCTCTCCAATCTGGGACACCTCGGAGGATGTCTGGCAGTCGGACATCCCTCTCACAATCTGGACTGCTGGCTCCTAACTGCTTGCCTGCCAGCCTGATCACCCCCTAACCACTCCCCTGCCAGCCTGATCACCCCCTAACCACTCCCCTGCGGCCTGATTGCCCCCAACTGCCCTCCCCTGATGGCCTGGTCACCCCTAATTGCCCTCCCCTGCCCGCCCGATCGCCCACAACTGCCCTCCCCTGCCAGCCATCTTGTGGCGACCATCTTGTGACACACGTGTGGGTGGCCATTTTGTGATGACATGGGGTGGCCATCTCGTGGCGGCCATGTTGTGACAACATGGGGGTGGCCATCTTGTAGTGGCCATCTTGTGATGACATGGGGCGGCCATCTTGTGATGACATGAGGGTGTGATGGTCACTTAGGCTTTTGTTAGTATAGATGTTATAAACAGGGAAGGAAGGGAGGGAAGGAGGGAAGGAGGGAGGGAGGGAGGGTAAAGAAAAGAAAGAAGGAAACAAAGGAAAGAAGGAAAGAAAGGAAAGAAAGGAAAGAAGGAAGGAAGGAAGGAAAGGGAAAGGGAAAGGGAAAGGGAAAGGGAAAGGAAGAGAAAGAAGAGAAAGAAGAGAAAGAAGAGAAAGAAAGAAAAGCAAGAGCATGTGTGTACCAGGAGTACTTGGGCCATAATCTGCCACTTGTGGCTTCTTACATGAAAATTCCATTAGAAATTCTCTAAAACTGTGATCTGATCTAGCTTTAGGCAAGATTATTTTTCTCCTTTTGGAAAAGCTGAGCTCAACCATTTGTGACTCTGCATTCCTGCTTTTTATCCTCTTAGTGTTCTTTTTCTTTTATCCTCATCTGAGGATATTTTTTCCATTGATTTTTAGAGAGAGTAGAAGCGAGGGAGGAGGGGAAGGGGGAGAGAGAGAGAAACATTGACATGAGAGAGACATCCATTGGTTGCCTCTGACTGGATCTGGAGATCAAACCTGAAACCGAGGTATAAGCCTTTGACCGGGAATTGAAACCGAGACCCTTCGATCTGCAGGCCAACACTCTAACCACTGAGAAAACTGGTCAGGGCTTGGTGTTCGTTGTTGTTGATGTTCATGTCTTCTCAGTGATTGTTTTACTGCATTTTAAAATTGAAAATAGACATTTTATTTTGTTTGTATAAGATACAATTTCAAAATGCAAGTCATAATATGTAGATACTAGAAGCCTGGTACATAGGATTCGTGCACTGGTGTGGGGCGTGGCCTGTGGGGATCAGTCCGCTGTGGGAGCACTGCTCATCCAGTCAGCTGAGTGGCTGTGGACCACGCTCTGAGCGGCTGCTCCCTGGTCTGACATCTTCTGTGGAGCTGGAGCACTCGCCTCTCCAGGGAACCCGGTTGGGGCCGGGCCCAGGGACACTAGCACTGAGAGGCGGCAGAGTAGGCCTCAGTCCCACAGCAGCCACGAACCCACCTCCCAGCCTCCAGGATCAGCTCTGTGAGTCTGGCGGCAGTGGCGGCGGTGGTGGTGCTGCACAGCCTGCAGGCATCCGGAGAAGGTGGCAGGGAGCAAGGAGGAGGAGCCTGGGGTGAGGAAGTGACAATCACAGCCCGGGTTCCTGCCCATCAGCCTGGGGTTCGCAGCAGGAGCAGCTTCTCATCCCGATCAGCCTAGCAGCACTCCCACTGTCGTAGCACACTGACCACCACGGGGCAGCTCCTGCGTTGAGCATCTGCCTCCTGGTAGTCAGTGCACATCATAGCAACTGGTTGTTCTGGCCATTCCGCCATTTGGTCACTGGGCTTTTATTATATCCTATCCAATAAAAGGGTAATGTGCAAATTAACCATCACTCTGTCACAAAAGATGGCAGCACCCATAGCCACAAAATGGCAGTGCCCAGTCCTCTCAGCCCCGCCGGAGTCCCCCAGTCTCGGGGGGGGGGGGCGGCCGCTGAGAGTGGGCAGCATGAGAGGCCTGGCAGAATGCTTGCTTCGTCGCCGCGGTGATGAGGCAGGCATTCCACGCCCAGCCGCAGATGGGCCTCTGGCCAGGCCGGCGCGTGAAACACTTGCGTCGTCACCCTGATGATAAGGCAAGTGTTCCGCGCCCAGCCGCGGATGGGCTCCTGTCAGCACTCACTCAATTTACATGAGTGAGTGCTGACAGGAGCATGTCATCCCTGTGACTTACTCATTTTAATTGGAGGGAAAGAGGTATGCAAGCTAGCAGTGCTGGAGGCCAAGGAGACGCACAGAACTCCACTTGGGGAAATCCAAAAGACACGGCTCATGGAGGCACAGCCACTCTGGGCACTTCTCAAATGGGGTGTTTTCTCCCCATTTCTGCTCCACCGAGCATGCAAATGACAGAACCAAGACTGTATAACACAGATAAAACAGATGGGCCTCTGGGCCACGGAGAGCCTCTGGGAAGCAGGTGAGGAGTGTCCAGGCCCCGCAGAGAGCTATTGGCGCACGGATTCGTGTGCAAGGCTACTAGTAGGATAATAAACAAAGTATAAATATGCATGTATATATATGGAAAATGTCACTGAATTCAGTTTTCTTTCTGAATCCTTAAATTAAGAGAATTCACTGGGCACAATATCTCTTTGTTCCCTTTCGGTGTAAGCAGAGCACCCAACTGGAGAGAGTTTTAGGAGCAGAAATGATAATGTCATCCTTATAGACACCTCTCAAGCCAGGAGGAGCCTACTAAATTCACTTAGAGCCTCAGATATATTTCTTTTCTTTGTAAACTGCCAGTCCGGAGGAGGGGCAGAAGAGTCAAGCTGATAAGTTATCCTGAGTAAATATCATAATGAAATAAAAGCCCTGATAGGAAGACCTGAGGCCTTCAATGGCTGGGACTCTGGGAACTTGGCCCCATATCTGAGGCAGGGCAGGCATCGAGCTTCCATCCTAAGCCTGGAGAACCTACTCGTGCAGACAGTGCCGAGGGTGGGCACATCTTGGTGGCTTCTCCCTGGCGCCCAATTCCTTGAGTCTTTTCTAGGTCCTCTCTGGCCAGAGCAGAGTTGGTGCCTTCGCTGTAGCCCTTGCTGGCCCGGTTTTCCCTTGGAGTTTCCTAGACTGTGTGGTAGTTTTCTGTATCCTCCTCTCTGCCATTGTTTCCTCCAGTCATTGGGATATCTTCCATATTTTCCATTTGATCACTGGGTGTCTGGGAAGTTTGCCTGTAAAGCAAATAATTCACAGTTTTTGAAAAGAGAGCATTGCCCTCAAATTGAGTAAACAGTCCCTATTCAACACTCAGATGGAGAAAACTGCACTCGCAGATACTATTTAAATCTATTTTTAGGGTTTTCAATATTTTTAATCCCCTTATCCACCAAAGATTTCCAAATGCTATTGGAGCAGCTTCCCCCTACCTTGCCAACAATCTGCTGAAAACTGGTAGTTCAAATGGTAAGAACAAGAGAAGGAGAAAGTAACTAGGAGTCCAGCTAAGCCAGATGTGATAATCCTGATAAAAATGATATATTATTTATAAAGCTTTTAAAACAGTTCTTGGCACTTAGTGTTAAGTGTTGACCCAGGAACTAGGAGGTTATGGGTTCGATTCCTGGTCAGGGCACATGCCTGGGTTGTGGCCTCCATCAATAGTAGAGGTATGTGCAGGAGGCCAATTGATCAATGTGTCTTTCTATCTCTCTCCCTCTAAAAATCAATAAAAACATTTAAAAAGTAAACAAATATATTGATCAGTTCCTGAGTAATCAAGAGGAGGGGGGGCAGAACACCTTAATTTCATGTTTCTTTGTTGAACAATGTGATTTATAGGCCATGAGTGTCAGAGTCAGCTATTTCTTCCATACATTATTTAACCTACCTTCTGAGGATAGCACTTTTTAGGACATTTTAAAATAAGCACTTTGAGCTCTTTGGAGGTTTACCAATTCTTAAAGAGGTGATTATGAATATTTCTTTAGCATAGTCTGTGAATATTGATATTTTCTTCTTATGAGCATATTTATTGGCCATATATACCACATTTTCAAATACTTTTAAAGAATATGATTTAATGTATTATTTTTTAAAAAGATTGTGTATGTATTCTTTTTAAATATAGTCGCCTAGCCAACATGGCTCAGTGGTTGAGCATCTCCACCTGGGAACCAGGAGGTCACGGTTCTATTCCTAGTCGGGGCATATGCCCAGGTTGTGGGCTTGATTCCCAGTGTGGGGCATGCAGGAAGCAGACAATCAATGATTCTCTATCATCATTGATGTTTCTATCTCTCTCTCCTTCTCCCTTCCCCTCTGAAATCAATAAAAATATATTTTAAAAATACATAGTCAATGATTATAGTCATTATAATCTCTTAAGAATGTAACTCCAAATATAGCATTTTATATGGAAATTATTATTATATTTAAAAAATCCTTTTAAAATACATTTTGCCAACATTTTAACATTTTTTAATTTTTTGATAAGTTTTTAAGTAATATAGCAATCTTACTTAATTTCTAAACTATGAGGTTTATGGCATTTCTTGTTGGTTGCAATAGTATTAACAGCTTTTGAAGATTTATGTAAATTTTTAGATGATGTTTTCATTTTGGCTTTACAGTAGTATTTCATGAAATGTTCATTTTTTTGAAGTTAGGCTCAAAGGGCAGTATAGTCTTTATAAAAAATATTTTTTTACTAGTAACTAAAAGTTTATTTTCAACAAATCTTAAGTCCATTGATTGTATAAAGCCGAGAAAGGATCCAGAGCAACTACATCAATATGGAATGCTGAAATACTGCTTACTAAATGGTAGAAGTATAAAATTAAGACTAGCCCTGCCTGGCCAGTTTGGCTCAGTGGATAGAGCATCGGCCTGTGGACTGAAGGGTCCCGGGTTCGATTCCAATCAAGGACACATGCTTAAGTTGCAGGCTTGATCCCCAGTAGGGGGTGTGCAGGAGGCAGCCGATCCATGATTCTCTCTCATCAATGATGTTTCTATCTTTCTCCCTCTCCCTTCCTCTCTGAAATCAATAAAAATAAATAAAAATATATTTAAAAATAGAAAAAGAAAAATTCATTTTAAAAAGTTTAAGGAGAATTTAAAAAATGAAATAAAGGCTAATGTGTCATTTGAAGCTTTAATGAAAAAATGATAAAAATGCCTGAAGATTAGAAAAATAATGTCTGAAATTTCAGCAAGTGGCAGAAACAGTTTTGTCACAAATGCTGAAATGTATAATTTCAATGATCAGAAATACAAAAGTAAGGCTGACATGAATGAGTGTATTTATAAAAAAGTATATCCATATTTAATGAGTGCATTGAAGAATATATTCATGCCTATATGATAAGAAGTGATACAAATTGCCTGTCTATCAAATTGGTTAGTTGGCACATTCTTTCTTTCTGAATTGGCTCTCGGTAAAATTGGCCCTGTGTCATCAGCTCTCGCTGCCCCACTTCTGACGAGTGGCCTGCCTAGGAAAGTAAATGGCTTTCTAAGACTGGCTCAGTGTGACTGCTCAACTCCGACACTGTTGTGCGTTTTTTAAATCCTCACCTGAGGATATATTTTAGAGAGAGGAAGGGAGAGAGAGAAACATCAGTGTGAGAGAGAAACATTGATCAGTTGCTTCCCATACGGATTGCATACTGAAACTTGGGTATGTGCCCTTCCTGGGAATGGAAACAACCTTCTTTTGGTATATGAGACGATGCTCCAACCAACTGAGCCACCAGCCAGGGCCGACACTCCTTTTGGCCAACGTAAAAGCGGGGTGAGAGTGAGAGCCTGTGTCTCTAGCCAGGAAAGGGATTCTTCATTGGGAAGGCAGGCCCAGGGTCATAATAATGAACTCTTTTCTCGGAGGAAAGGACGAATCTTGTCCAGTGTGATTCTCTTGTGCCACTCACCTTGATTTTTTATGATAACATATCAGAAGTAATACCACACATACTCCACAAAGCACAGTGACAGGTGTGGAGATGGCTGCCACTGTAAAAGAAGAGAACTAAGCTGGCATCATGCTAAAAGTCCAGGTAGCAGATTCATTTCATTTTTTTCCTTTTAATTTATCGGGGTGACACTGGTTCATAAAATTATACAGGTTTCAGTTGCATAGCTCTACAACTCATCATCTGTATAATGTGTTGTGTGTTCAGCACCCCAAGTCAAGTCTCCATCCATCACCATTTATCCCCCTAGAAGGTTAATTTCTACGAATCTGAAAATTCTTTACAGTTTACATTCCCGCAGAGAGATACAAACGCCTTCCCAAACAGCTTACTGTTATTAACATTTCTTAAGGTTCCATGCAATTCAATCTATTCTATCTCTGGGCAAAAACTACATTCCTTTCCCACCAACACTGCCAGTTCAAACTGTCCAGTTCATGTTATCCCTTCTCCCATCCTCCTAATCCTTGTCCTTCCTGAGCAGAGTGAGTGATGGGCAGGGATGGGAGTAAGTCAGGAGGGGAAAGTAAGCACTTCGTGAGAAGAAATGCTTGCTGCTAAATCCAAAGTGAAGAAAGTAGACATGGTCAGGGTCCTCCTCAGTTGTCCTCTGGCACGACCTCCCCCTTTTCTGCAGCTTCGCAGAATCCTGATTTAGAAATGATAGCTTGCAGTGCCATTTTTCTTCCAATTCCATTAGCATTATTTGCTACTTTTTTATGACAGAGGAAGAGTGGTAAAGAGAAAGAAGAGGTGTTATAAGGGAGATCTTACAGGTAAGAGGAGAATAAAGTAATGCTGAGGAAAAGGAAAAAACTGTTGACTGAGTTGAAAGGAACAGCATGGATGGTGGGAGGATTTGAGGGTGGAAGGCCAGCAGCCACAACAGCATTTGAGATTTATTAGACAGGAACAGTGGGATCCTTGTGTGGAAGCAAAAAGGCAGGTGAACATAACTGTTTTTAAAACACTGAGTCAATAATAAACTCCAAGCAGATTTTGCCAGTTTGCCTTAATATTATGAAATGTCCCTGCAAAAATCACCTGGATGCCCCACTTGCAAGATGACAACCCTGAACATCTGGAGAGCCAGTTGTCTCACTGTGGACCATGAGTCAATTAGTCTCTAAGACCATGAAACTTTTCAGACCTGTCCCTGTACAACCAACACACAACCTTGTAGGTAAGGGTAAATCCCCATGGCTTGGCATTTAAAATACAACCCTATTGAAATGCAGGTTAAATATATGGATATGGGAAACACCCAGATTCTCTGCTTTGTAGGAGTGAATGTAAATGGGTACAGTTTTTCTCAAAGGTACTTGGCAACTTAACAAAAGCTCTAGAGAAGACCATATAAGTTAACTCTCCAGTTCTACTTCTAGGACTCATTCTAAGGAAATGGGAAAGTATATATAGGAATATTCACTGAAGTACTGTGTAAAATAATTTTTAAAATGTTAATCTAAATATCTTATCAGTAGAAAAATAGTTAAAATGTGTTAATACTCATCCAATGGAATATTATTCAGCTTTTAAAAATTACGAAATGGCCCAGCTGGTGTAGTTTGACCTATGAACCTATGAGCTTTGATCTGTGAACTAGACAGTCACAGTTTGATTCTGTCAGGGCACATGCCCTGGTTGCTGGCTTGATCCCCAGTAGGGAGCATGCAGGAGGCAGCTAATCAATGATTCTCTCTCATCATTGATGTTTCTGTTTCTCTCTCTCCCTCTCCCTTCCTCTCTGAAATCAATAAAAATATATTTTAAAAATTGTGAAATTAATCTATATTAACATGAAAAGATGTCTATCTATAATAATAAAAGTGTAATATGCTAATTAGACCAGACAGCCAAATGACCTCTGGATGTCCTTCTTGATGAAGCTGGGGCTGCGAGGGCCAAGCCCCTTGCATGAGTTTCGTGCATTGGGCCTCTAGTGATATCATAAGTGAAAAAAGGTGGTTGAAATAAAAATGAACCAAAAGAAATCCAGTAAGCCATGTGTGTGTCATATACACAAAAAAATCTTGAAGAATATCTATCAAAGTATTAAATAATGGTGGGATTATAATCTTTATGTTCTTTAAAAAATTTCCCCCTGATATTTTTGCAATGATGCTATAATCAAAAGAAACAATAAAGTGCAAAAACAAAACTAATTGCAGTAGAAAAAAGCATAGAAAAGTTGTTCTAAAAGAAGTAACAACAAACTTGGAAAACTAGTGAAAGTTCTTTTGACTTTTTAAACAACATTACTCGTCAGTATGACTAAAAATCAGAAGTCTTTTATTAGAAGAGATATTGTAGCTGATAATAAACTATTTCTTCACGTTGACTAATCAGTTTGGCATGCATTTACTGTTCATGGAGAGATTTATTGGAAAAGGCAAGTTGATATAAACAGTAAGTATTTCACAATGCTTCTTCCTGTTTATTTGTAATGAGAATATAAACTACGGACTCAAACTCAAGGGAGAAGAGGGCTCCTGAGCCAATGATACAACAAAGCAATTTGAACTCAGTGACTTAAACTCAAACCCTTGGCCTCTTCCTCAGTTATATACAGACATATTTAGTAAAGAAATTGAAACCAGAATTACTACAACAATGGACTAAGATATCAACTGCCAAAGTCCTCCACCCTTTTGTGTTTACTAGGGGTGCATGGATTATAGAAAAAGGAAGTGAAAGAGATTTCATGAGATAGAGGAGGATTAGAATCTGGGAGAGAGAGGAGAAAAAGTAGATTATTGCACAGGAGGCCAGAAAGGCTAATAACTGCCTGCTAGCATTCAACCTACCATTCAACATGCATGTTGGGTCTGGGGCACAGAAGGTAGCCTAGGCAGCCAGGGGCCACTGTTGGATGTGGATGATGAAATGTCCTCTGTGAACATACAGGGAATCGCCACTCCTTAGTAATACCGGCAAACTAGGTCAGTCAGGGAGTAGTACGTATTTCTGTCACTGTGCCCAGAGTCCTTGTGTGTCTGCATTTGATGAGGGCAATTTTGAAGTAAGAATGTCAGTTCTGGGCAGTTTTCCTAAGTTTTTTTTTCTTCTTTTATTAGTATCTGTTACTTTACTAAGCACATTCCAAGTGTTGGGCTCAGAGTAGATAATCAATACTTACTTGACTGAATTAAATAATTACCATCCCATAAGTTGAAATACATACATTTAAAGTGCCATTTGCTTTTTAATGAGAAATCTGCATTTCAGTGCAGGTTAGTACCAGACCTGCCACAAAATAGAATCTCCATTTCTATTGATTGAACAGATGAACGTTACAAAGGTAGCTTCTGTTAAAGGCTGAGTATATGGACTGTAGCAAACTTATTTCAGATGTGGCAGAAAAAGGAACTCCTCACTCCTAGTGTACTAAATGAAGATGGCCATGTAAACACCCTCATAGATGACGTTTTGACCTTTTATTTTACAACTAGAGGCCAGGTGCACAAAATTTGTGCACAGAGTAGGGGGGAGAGGGTGGCCCTCAGCCCAGCCTGAACCCTCTTCAATCTGAGACCCCTTGGGGGACTGCTGGCTTCCAACTGCTCGCCTGCCTGCCTGCCTGATTGCCCCTAACCGCTTCTGCTTGCCAGCCTGATCACCCCTAACCACTTCCCTGCCAGCTTGATCGATGCCTAACTGCTCCCCTGCTGGCCCAATCGCTCCCAACTGCCCTCCCCTGCCAGCCATCTTATGGCTGTGGGCGCCGCCATCTTTGAAGGTGGGGCAGTCAATTAGCATATTCCCTCCTTATTGGCTGTGGGCACCACCATCTTTGTGATGGTGTGAGGGTCAATTAGCATATTCTCTCTTTATTAGATAGGATTGAGATGCTTCAAGAATAGCTTAGTCAAGTATCAGAGACCAGATATTGGAAAAATTGAATAAAGTTATTGATAAAAAGGGCTGCCAAGTGAGGCAGTAGATATTTGAGACAATGAGATGATAAGCAACACTTCCTGAATATTTATTTAGATGTTAAAGTCCTCAAATTTACTTAATAGTTGCTCATTCATTCACTACTTATTCATTCAATATTTCTGTTGGACTAAAGAAAGCAACTTTAAAAGTTGATATCTTTTATAACCTTATTTAAAAAATAAATGATATTGGTAGTATCAATGGGTTGATTAAAACATTATGTTAACATTTACTGAGCAACCACTATAGTATAAAGCATCATTTATATATATTTTTTACAAAGATGAGCTTAACTGATTGCTTAGTCATGTGGAAATAGCAACAGCCACTGATGCCCAGGGACCAGCAAGTACCTCTGTCACTGATACCTGGCCTGGGCATACTCTTAGGTCTTAGGTGGCTGGGATTGTATGAGACATACTTTGAAGGCATTATAACTAAGTCTTTTTAGAAAGTTAGCATGATTTTCATTTTAGCATACACCTTCTTAGTGGATGAAACTCAAGTAATACATAATGAAATATAGCTAGTTTTCATCTCCTTGCTGAAATTACTTGCTTTCTTATAGTTTTAATATGTCTGTCTTTTTTTTTAATGTCTTTATTGGTGTTTTTTGAGAGAGAGAAGGGAGAGGGAGAGAGAAACATTGATGAGAGAGAAAAACATCAATTGGCTGCCTCCTGCCCCTCCACCCCCCACCTACTGGGGATTGAACCTGAAATTAAGGCATGTGCCCTGATTGGCATCCAAACCAGTGACCTTTGGTGCATGGGATGATGCTCAACCAACTGAGGGCAATATGTCTACCTTTATATTTAAGCAGCTTGAAAGAAGATAATCTTATTCATACAATATGAATGGTTTAAAGCTGTTTTTTTTTCTTCTAAATCTCGGTATTTTCACAGTTCTTTGCACATAGCTATCTTTATCTATTGTACATGTTCAGTTAATGTTTATTATATTACATTTCAGAATTTGGGAGTGAGTTTCTGATATTTTAATCCAGGGAAAGACATAAATTGGAAAAAATAGATTATAGTCCATAATAAAATAGTTTGAAAATCTACGTAGAAAATATGGCTCCAAAACTTTATAAGATTTTATCCTACAGATATATTCGCACATATGCAAAACAATACAAGGCTTTCTAATTTTTTATTGTTTGTAATATAGCCAAAGAATGTAAGCAGTCTCGTGTCCAAATAGAGAGTTGGCTAAATAAATTGTGGTAAATCCATACAATGGAATATTTTTAAGTTCTTAAAAAGAATGATGTGGTTTTATATACTGATGTGGAAGAATCTCCAAAATATAGCATTAAGTGAAAACAAAGTACAGAACCTTGAAAATAAAATACCTAACTGGCTGGCATCATATATCCTCTGTGTGCTGTTGACATACTGACTTTCTCTGATGGGTACACAGAAATCTGGTAGCAGGGGATTTCTTCCTTCCCACAGATGATTTTCAGTCAGAGAGAAGATTTACTTTTTACTATATATCCTTTTGTAATTTTTTATTTTTAAACCATGTGCAAAAATTTTCAGTTCAAAAAATGAATAAAGCCCTAGCCGGTTTAGCTCAGTGGTTAGAGTGTCGGCCTGCAGACTGAAGGGTCCAGGGTTTGATTCTGGTCAAGGGTACATGCCTGGGTTGTGGGCTCAATCCCCAGTAGGGGGCGTGCAGGAGGCAGCCAATCAATGATTCTCTCTCATCACTGATGTTTCTCTCTCTCCCTCTTCCATCCTCTCTGAAATCAATAAAAAAATATTTTTTTTAAATGAATAAAAAATTTAAAACTTTGTAGAAAGATTAATGTAGTCTGTGACATAAAATGAAAAATTAGATTGGCTTCTTTATTTATTGGTCTCCTCTTAAATGATAAACATATTCTTGTTTTCATATCCTTGCCATTAAATGCCATAGTTTTTCCATGAAAATACTCTCCCAAAGAGCCTTTCCACACTGTCTTGACTTTTTATATATGATTGATTTTTAAAAAAATTCTAATCAACTAACTGCTGAGATGACCAAAGCCACTTTTTTTTCCCAGATGACACTAATGCAGATAAAATGTAATCACAAAAATATGAATCTTTCTCTAGCAGGAAAACTTGTAAATCAAAAATAGAAATCGTTTTGCCCATATGACATTAGAGTGGTTTTCAGTTCATTGAAAACCTCTCAGACAAAAGTATCAGATCCTTTCTTCTTGCATTTCTCTCTCCTGGCTTCTTTCTCGTTTTCTCTCCTCTCTTCTCTGAGCTTTCCTCTCCTCCTTTCATCTTTTTCTTTCATTCTTGCTAACAATTTTCCATCTTCCTCCTTATATTTACTGGGACATTCTCTCCTAGTCTTAGTGTTGTGTGCATCTCCTGTAAAAAGGCTTCTAGACAGAGAAATTTGAATGGTCTGGCTGTAGGTGCATGGTGCTTACTAACACTCTGGGGGAGTAGTGCAGTCTGTATGTCAGCAGAACAATGTCATCTCCACGGTGCCAGCACGCACTCCTGGTTACCTAGTAAGTCTTGGACAGACGTCTAGCCCTGCTTAGTAGAACTGAATTGCTGAATAGGCCCTTGTTGTGATGTATCTACTCTTTGGTTTCCATATCAGGAGCCTGACAGTGGTAAGGTACCAATATGAAAATAGTGATGTCAAAGAATTCCATAAATAGGGTGATCTTGTAACTTACTTTCTACACCGATACACTTGAGAGTAAAAGGGGATGCTATTAGTGATCATGCTGGGACAACTGGCACAAACCAGGACTGTTCAGCTTCCTGGGACAAGTCCCCTGACCTTCAGTACTTCCAGGACAAAGGGAGATACTTACCAGTGACAGCTGTGGAATTGGATGAATGTGCACCTGAGGGAAGAGATTGCAGCTCAGTTATGACGGTAGTCCTAAAGGTACTATTCTCATTAAGCAGGAGAAATTCTGCACAATTTGGTTCCTATCTTAAAGCCTTGAGCGATGCATGGCTGGAAAAACCAAGCTCATTTTAGCAAAGAACAAACAAGGTCATTAATTCATTTACAGGCTGGGCCATGCTTAAGAGTCAGATGTGCCCTTACAGAAGATACAGGTTACCGAGTGCTCCTCCATCCCATAGATCGTGACTCCAGAGGGTGGGAAGCTTCCTCGTCCTCCCACATTAGGAGGAGGCCGATATTATTCAGATTCTTAGCAAAGCAGGTTAATACGGTGAGACTTGGCACATTTGGGAAATGGACTTCCTTTTCACCTGGACTGAGCCAGGGTGGAGCACAAAACAGAGAGACAAGAGCAAGAAGGCTGTGGCAGAGAGCCGGTGGCGGAGGGTTGCCAGGTTGTTCTGATTTTGGAGGGTATTATGTCATGCAGGCAGAGAGCTGAACTCCCCTAAAGTGTGCAAAGACAGTGCCAACCTGGCTTCTCGAGGGAGGTGGAGGGAGTGTGTTCCAAGGCCTTTGCAGTTGTCTGAGGTGGGGCTTGGGAGGGCTCATTCCTGACTACCCTTGTGGTTCCTGCAGGAGATTTGGATGGCATCAACCTGGAGCCCGGTACCACAGCTGGCTTTGTGGCCACTGTGGTGTCTGGCTTGGAAATGAAAGCTGGCTCTGTCGGAAGGTGCAACACATGGAGAACATAAATGTTTAGAATAGTAACTTTCTTAGCTCCAGAGGAGAGTGAACTTAATCTGTGCTCTAAGGAGCCCACCCTGGGCCAGCCCTCCCCCAGGACACTGCTCCATGGAGCTTTACGAAAATCCCTTAAGTGTGTAACGTAGTCATCCATCCGGGGTGGCCATAAGACTTTTGAGAATGCTAGAGGATTTGCAGAGTAAATTACAAAGATTAGAGTAGATCCAGGCTGTTTACTAGAGAAGACTGGTCTCAAACAAAAAAAAGACACACAAGTGGAACTGTATTTGCCAAAGCCGAGACATCTGGGATGCTGGTTTTAGTTTATTTTGTACATGTTTTCACAAAACTTCTAAATAAGAGGGAGCCTGAGATTCAGCCCATCTGAACTATAGAGTGTTTTTGAAGGGCTTTGCCCCGGTCTTGTCATCTTTGGCCATTGGCCACATTATTTGGGCTGCTTTCCCATGTGTTCCCAGCCACAGATGCTGTGAAAAGTCCTCATGCCCTTTAATCCTTAGTCACGTCCTCATACTACCCAGACGGCCAGCACTCCAGGTACTTTGCATAGAGTTCCCCCAGAGCTTTCCCATCCAAGTGTCCATGGCAACATCACTCTCTGTCAAAGATGACAATCTCACATCTGAGATTTCGACTGTACAATTTCATCTGATCAAGTGTTTGGTGCATGAAGGCAGAACTGAGAGAGGCCACTTGATGATCCTCATTAATTGGGTGACTCAAAGGAGCTTTATAACTGCCCCAAACTTAAATATAGCCAGTACCTCAGCCTCTGCCTTCTGTTTGTAGCCCGCTAACTAGAAGGAAACCTTTTTCTGGCCTTTCCATCCTCCCTTCAGCAGTGGTTCTCAGCCTTGGCTACCTAAGAATTACCCAGGGAGCTTCTAGAATTCTGATTCCCAGATTGCTCTCGAGAGTTCCAAGGTGACCTCAGTGGACAGCCAAGATTAGGAACCATGCTCTAGGGAGGTGTGCCAAGCATAACAGAATGACTGTGCCTGGATGGGAGGAGACAGGGGCCAGGAAAACCCACAAATTGGAAAACGGGACACAGAAAATCAAGAGTTAAGTGTAAAGTAAGGGTATCATAGGACATGGGGCACATTGTCCCATGATATTTAGCACCGAAGGTTTCGGATTTTCTTAACACGGAGTCAGTGCTGAGGAAATTGGGATGGATGATTACCTTAGACTCCGTGGAAATGTGGCACATTGGCAGCTTTGGGCAATGCTGCTACACCAGAGCCATCATAGTTAACTTGCTGGTGCGTAGGATTGTTGGGAGGTAATTCTGCATGGGTCTCTCACGTTTCTGAAATTCACTTCTTTTGTTATTAATACTTACAGAGCTCCTTCTAGAATCAGAACTCAAATACTGGTTTTTGTTGCTTTAAAAAATTATTCATAATTGACACAGTATTATATTAGTTTCAGGTGTACAACATAGTGATTCAACATTTATATGCTTTACAAAGTGATGGCCACAGCTCTGACCCAGGAGTGTTGTGTTTTCTGCCAGTACCCCTGAAACTGTGGTGGGCTAACATGTGACGCGGGCCAAACCTCAGAACCTCCCTGAGAAGGATAGCAGTTTTGACAAGGATAGCAGTTAAGTTTGACCTGACATAATAAGAGTGGATTTCAAACCATTATTAATCATGCACATATAAAACCTGGATATCAAGCCCCTTTGATTTAAAACAGAAAATTAAGCTAAGGTAAATTTTTGTTTTTGATTTTTAAAAAGTTTTGTTCTATTACGTAAGTTTGTAGTGGAACTCCAGCAGTGGTCCATGAATCTGAGGGATTTGTGGGGACCTGAGTGTTAGCAGGGAATGGAAGTCCTTAAAAAATTCCCAACATTCCTACCTTTTCCAGAAGGGGAGGGGCTCTCTGGCTCTGGGGTCACCCCTGCTGGCGCTACTGTGGAGGATGGCCTTTGGCGGGTCAGGGAGGGGTCTCCTAGAGAGAGGACAACCACATGGCATTTATGATCCTGAGGGTGGACCCTGGGGTGGCTTCAGAACTGGATATAAATAAACATACAAATTTAAAACGGATACATTTGGCCTCCTAGGATAGGTCAGAAGCACAAGAAATAAACTACAATCAATGTTTCCCAACCTGCAGTTCTCATGCAAATGCAAGCACAGACTGAAAACACAATAGGCAGCAGGAGTATCAGCAAATTTGCATCAATTCCCTCATCCCCAAGCCCCAGAGAGGCAACATGGATGGGCCAGAATAGATACATCCAGTGGTCTGCAACACAGCAGGGGAAGCCTGAGCTCAGGGAACCTGAGTCTTTTATTAACGGCATGACCATGTCTGCCTTCTCTCCAGAGGGAGGTGCTGTCTCCATCTTCCAAGGCTGTATATATACATGCATCCTTGAGAAGATCAGGGAAAGGGCCAGTCAGTCCTCTACATCAAGTAGAAGGCTTCCTCCTTGCTTTGCCTCTGATGTCTGCATGACAGTCATGCAAAGGGAGGGACAGGTTGAGGGGGAGGGGTACCAGGTGGTCTAAACACAACAAATTCAATAAGAAAGTCTGGCTCTCCAAGGAGTCCTACAATAAAGTGAGTTTGCTATAGAACAACCTCCCCTCTGCTCTGACTGGTGTCGCTAAGTGGTTAGAGCAGCCGTGGGCAAACTACGGCCGGATCCCGTTTGAAATGAATAAAACTAAAAAAAAAAAAGACCGTACCCTTTTATGTAATGATTTTTACTTTGAATTTATATTAGTTTACACAAACACTCCATCCATGCTTTTGTTCCGGCCCTCCGGTCCAGTTTAAGAACCCATTGTGGCCCTCGAGTCAAAAAGTTTGCCCACCCCTGGGTTAGAGCATGGGGCCCATGCACCAAAGGGTCGTGGGTTCAATGTGCTGGTTTGATTACTGGTCAAGGGCATGTACCTGGGTTGCAGGTTCGATACCCATTCCCAGTCGGGGGGCGCTACGGGAGGCAACCAATCCATATCCGCCCCCCTCTTTCCCACCACCCTCCATGCCTCCCTTCCACTGTCTCTAAAAATCAATGGAAAAAAACCATCTGGCGAGGATAAACAAAAACACAAACAAACAAAACCTCATCTCCTTACCCCTCTGCTTCCCCCATAGAGAAGTTGGCAATTTTCACAAATGTTATATGAGAAAGTATCTCACTCACTGCTGGACATGTACCAAGTAAGCAATAAATGTTAAATCAGAAGGCTGTGGCTTAATATTTTTTCTAGAGTAAGTGGATTAGTATTTCTGGAAATGGCACAATTAGCTTCCACCACAAGATTAATTGGCTCCTTCTGGCATGGTTATCCAGTTGTAGGTGGTTTACAAAAATTGATTCTGGCGACTTTCCCTCACACTTGCTCTGGACCACTGACTGGACACCAGACTTGGGTAACCGAGTTAGGGAATCTGCGCCCATGTGTCTCCGCAGTCTCCTGGGATGGATACCACTGGAGAAGAATGCAGGCCTTCTCCCAGGGAGAAACTGGAAAAGCTCTCTGGGAAGCAACTATGCTTGAGCACACATCCTTGTCTGTAGCCAAATTCTTGCTACCAAAATCTTAAAGCACCAACGGTAATAATAGTTAATATTTACCAGCTTTCACTGAATCCTTCTACGAACAAGCCACAATGCACATCAGGTCCATTTCCTATATAAGAAACCTAGAGTTCCGAGATATGAAGGCCCTTGCCCAAAGTCTCATAGGTTTAGGTAAGTGGCAGAGCCAAGATTTGAACCCAGAATTGTGTGACACCCTCCCCGCTCCAAAGCCCATGTATGTCCATCTCCAGAGGTGTTGTTTAGAGGTCTATTGGTTTATTTAGTCTCAGACCTCAACACAAATCTCTTGCCCCCTCAGGTGGGCTATTCCATGACCCACATTGCAGCACTGCTGTCTATGTGTCCTTGGCAAGGGTGGCAGGGAGGGATGGTGCAGGGGCAGGTACTTACTGATGCATATGAGAGTGGGAATGGTCCACTGGGTAATATTTGTGTCCTCGTTACGCAGGCACTTAGTCAGGCTGGACGTACCAGCTTTACGCTTGAAACCAGAGTTACAAATATAACGCTCCCTGGAGTTCTCATTATAACTCTTGACCTGGATGTTTGCATGTTCAATAGAGGTTGGAGTAGAGCATGTGGTACCTGCAAAAGTACAGATAAGAGGGAGAGATGAACAAATTTCAGCTTGTTCAGAAATCTTCCAGAAGCCTGCCTTAGGTGCCAGACTTTCAGCATAGCTAGACGTGGAGGAGTTATCAGAGAAAACCTCCTTTGCCTCACTCTCACTTCCCATCCTCCCCAGCCTCAATCTCTCTCAAAGGTATCCATCTCTCTGTTTCTCTTCTGCCTCATCCATACCAAGCCTTTGAGTTCTCTTGCCTAAACAAATAGCAATAGTCTCCAGGCAGCCAGCATCATCTTTATAAATGCATATTTGATGTCTTTGCTCTTTCCTGATATTCTGCTGCTCTTAAAATAAAAACTAAAATCCTTAAGTCCTCAAGGATCATCCAGAACTGGCCCTTCTTGCCTCTCTAGCTACTCTTCCCCCAGGTCACAGAGGCCTGTGGTCCCCTTATGCCACTTACCAGGCCTTCCCTCCCTCCCCTTGCCCCACTCTTGGCTGGCCATCTGTCATCCTTCCTCAGGAAAGTCTTCCCTCACCCCCCAGTCAGGCCCCGGAGTTCTCTGTTCTTTCCCTGTATAGTTGTATTTAAGATGTTGAGGTGATGTAATGAATGTATGTCTCACCATCTGCACTGTAAGCTATAGAGGGTAGGGGTCACATCTGTTTTGCCCAACATTGTATTCCATAGTACAGTACCTGGCAAGAATAGGTGCTCAAGAAATACTTATTCAAAGAATGAATGGATAAAATTTCTTCCTCAACACCAGGCTTAAGTCTGACCTTCTAATATAAGTTCTATTTATTTAATTTCTACACATATACCCGGCTTATCTAATTATTCTCACTTTTTTGGAAGAAACCAGGGGCAAGATGAATTTCCCCAGGTGGCTCTACTTTTGTGACAGCTGGAATTAAACACTGATTCCAAAATGTAAGCTAAAAACCCTGGCAATGTGGCTCTCATTCTGTTCTGTGGAAATGAGGAGTTTCATAAGTTGATATCTAAGGATATTGGCCCAAGAAGAAACTAAAGGACTGAAATGTTGGCCATTTTCATTTTGAGGATGCCATATTTATTACTGACTTTTTGTTATTGTTAATTATTTATGGCCTGTTGATATTTTTGCATCATTAGAAAAATTCCTATATAAAAGCATGCAACATAAACGTTAAACACATTTAATGAGTTTAATGAGTTGTAGGAGTACTTCACTTTTTTCTACATTATGTAACAACAAAACTTGCAAAAAAGAAAAAATAACTTTTTCTTTCACTGGGCAAAACTGTGAAATTGGCATTATTTATCATGTACCTAATGTAAAATGCTGCAGATCCCAGGAAAGAATCTATTTCTAAATCCTTGATAACAGTATCCTCCTTGGCACCAATTTTGTAGACTGGGGTTCTATAAAGAAACCCCAAAAGGGTCTTTACTTATTAAAAGATGAGAATCAGCCCTGGCCAGTATAGCTCAATTGGCTGGGCATCATCTCATGCATGGAAAGGTTGCCAGTTTTATTCCTGGTCTGGCCACATGCCTGGGTTGCAGGCTTGATCCCCAATAGGGGTGTGCAGTAGGCAGCCAGTCGATGTTTCACTGTCACAATGATGTTTCTCTCTCCCTCTCCCTTACTCTTTCTCTCAAAAATCAATAAAAATATTTTCTTAACTTAATAAAGAAAAAAAATTTTAAATATTTTTTTAAAAGGTGAGGACCAGCCAATGTATTGTTCTACCACGTTTGTTCCAAAATAATATTGCTGGCCTATCCTTAAGATGAGGTCCTGTCCAATGCCAAAAAGAGTCTATTGCAGAAAAGGTTAAAAGCAAAATTTTTCTTTAGCCACTTGAAACACTGTATGATCTTTTTAAAATTTTATTTTTCAATCAACAAACGACAAGTGCTGGAGAGGATGTGGAGAAAAAGGAACACTTGTGCACTGCTGGTGGGAATGCAGACTGGTGCAGCCACTATGGAAGACAGTATGGAGTTCTACCAGTCTCAGTGTGCTTTCCTCTTTCCTTCTCTATTTACAGGACTTCCATTCAGTCAGCTTTCCAGAGGTTCTGGATGATGGTTCTGTATTTTAGTTGAAATTTTGATGTGGTTGTGGTAGGCGGTGAGGACAGGCGTTTACCTATGCTGCCATCTTCAAATCTCTCTGAAAATCAAGTTCTTAATGCACTAAAATAATGGTTCTACACAGTGTCTCTCTACTGTTTTATTTATTTCTCTTTGTCCCCATTATCTACCCCATCTCCTTCACATGGGCAGTTGTCTTAGTTTGGTTGAAACTGAGTCTGAGATGTTGATTTGCTCGAAGAAGGTTTTTGCTCAGAGATCTCAGGAAATACTCAAGCTAGGAGGTAGGTGAAGGCAAGGTTGGGCAGCAACAAAATAACTTTCCACTGAGGCTTCAGCTTATTCTAAGAGGGTACTCTGGAGCTGAGATAGCCCTTCAGAGTTAAACCCAGTGGCAACCAAAGACTTGGCCTTTGTGTTCCCATGTCAGTCAATCATTGGCTGTAGGCAGTCTGAGGAGGGGTCCTTACCTTGGGTGAGGCTGTTTTCTGCTGTCAGGGCAGCACCAAGGGGGAGTGCAGGTGTGAGCTGTCAGCAGCAGAAATTCCCAGCAGCTGGAGAATGGAAGCTTTTGCTCAACAGAGAATTATGTCTGTATATGCTGACCTCCAGGGTTATTTATGATGTATTGTTCAGAGGGGGGAAAAAAGTTTGGAGACATGCATGCAATATCAGAAAACAAACATTCCTGGTAGATTTATAAACTCTTGTATGTTTGAGTTTGAAAAAGAATGGGGAAAGGTAAATATTTGGCTCTTAACCACAGATTGCCTCAAGAGGATGCAAGTGTGAAAGAAAGAGATTGAATGAGAGTAACTATTTATATATCTCTGTGCTGTTTTAAAGATTATCTGAACATGTCAATTGTATATTGTTATTAAATTTAATTAGAAAACAGAAAAAAAAATAAAATAAAATTTTATTTTTCAATCAATTATAGTTGACATACACTATTAATTTAGTATCAGATTATAGCATAGTGATTAGACATTTAGATAACTTAGGAAGTGATCACCCCCATAAATCTACCTATCTGACACAATTGTATGATTTTTATATGCTTTTTCCTATTAATTCAATACATTTAAGGTTTTCTTGCATGCAGAGGAGATGAGTAAGAACTAGTTTCTGAGGCCAAGCTTTGCCTGAGGCAGTAGAGGTGGCTTAGAGTGGGCTGCGTTGGAAGGAAAGTCCCAGGCAGGGAAATTCTTCTGCAGCATTTTCCATTGTCCTGGAGCTTGTATGGACGTGTTGAGAAAGTATTGCTGCGCCTCCCTCCCCCCAGCCCCATTACTGAAAAGGTCATTGGCTGAAGTGCTGGCAAAGGGCAGAAACCAAGGTTACCTACCAAATTAGCGGGGAAAGCATACAAATCTGTGGGCTTCCTTCAGCTGCCCGGGGAGCTGGCTTTTTGGTTCCAGTGTGGAACCCTGAATAAGTCTCTGCTGAGCAGCTGGGACATCAGCAAGCAAGAAGATTAGGACTCATCCAAGAGAACCGAGAGAAACAATCTTTCTACTAAGGAGGGTAGTCTGAGGGGGGACTGAATATGGTGGCAGTTAGAATCACAGACGAGGCTGGCCAATCCACAGAAAGCAGGTGAGCAGGAAGGAGAAAGCTGCTGATTTCTTTCTGTATGCTTCAAATAAGCCACGCCCATTTGATTTATCCCAGTAGAATCTGTGCCTGCTTTCCAGCAACCTGAACCTTCTATTGGTCAGGCAGGATCTGGGTCTGCTTTGACTAAATAGCAGCTTTCTCCTTCCTGCTCACCTGAAGATCTTCTCAGCATCTGTCAATATAGAGGTGCCACAAAAATAAAATGAAGGGATGCCCTGGCTCATGTGGATCCATTAGTGGAGCGTTGTCTCATGCACTGAAAGGTCACCAGTTTGATTCCTGGTCAAGGCACATGCGCAGGTTGTGGGTTCAGTCCCGGACCATATGGGAGGCAACCAATCAATGTTTCTCTCTCTCTTTCTTTCTCTCTCTCTCTCTCCCTCCCTTCCTCCCTGGTCAGTGTAGCTCAGTTGGTTACACCGTCCTCCCATGCACCGAAGGGTCTCAGGTTTGATTCCCAGTCAGGGCACATACCCAAGTTGCAGGTGTGGTCCCTGGTCTGGGCACATATGATTCCTGGTCAGGGCGTATATGGGAGGCAAACGATTGATGTTTCTCTCTCACATCCATGCTTCTCTTTCACATCCATGTTTCTCTCTCCTTCTCCCTTTCATTTTCCCTTACTCTCTCTCTAGAATCAGTGAAAAACATATCCTCAGGTGAGGATTAAAAAAATAAAAATAAAAGGAAAAGCAAGCTGGGCTAGATAATGTGTAAATAGTGATTGTTTGAAGCTTCTGTAGATTTTCCTCCCAAGCCCATCTGTGCTGTTAAATCTGGGGGCAAAGGTATAAAGTCACTGTCATCTCTCCTTTTCTTCTTGAAAAATTTGTAGGAACTAGTCATCGTCCATGAGTAAAACAGTCCAGGTTTTGGAGGAAGAAATTACAACTATGGAAAGGGGAAAGGGATGAGTAGAATGTACCTTATGGTGTTGAACTAGAATTGAGGTTGGAGATATTAGTATGTAATTAGTGTGTATGTGTACACATATGTGTACATGAGTTTGTGTACCCTTGTGTGTCTGTGTGAGTGTGTACATGCAAGGATGTACCTGTGTATGTGTGTGCTAATTTTGTCCTTTGATAGTGCCTAGAAGCAATGACATATTAGCAGCAAACATACTTGGTACCCAGATCTTGGTCTCTACAAAAAGACTGATTCCAGAGTTAGGACATGGAAAGCACAAGTGAGTATGGAATATATTGTGCCAGGAAGTAAGGAAGTGCTCAAAGAATGATAGAAACATTTCAAAGGATACAGTGGCCAGGTTGAATCAGCTCTTGTGAGCCAAATCTGGGGCAATTTGAA